CATTTCAGTTCTGAAAAAATCAAAAGAAAATGATAAAAACTTCAAAAATAAAATCCTTCGAGAGGTAGTTATATTACTACATCTACTAGTTAGGAAAATTTGAAAACTTAAATTTGGACATGTTTTGCAAAAAGTGTAGGGAAAATGTAAAACGGCTATAACTTTTGCATACGATGTCGGAAAAAAACGTATAATATATCAAAAAGTTTAGCACGAAAATCCGCATCCGATGGAGACTGCCTACGGCTTGTTTGGAATTTGTTAGAATCCTCAAATTCCAAAAGGAAAAAAAGATATGGTCAAATTTCAGTTTTTTTAAAAAAAATTGGTTAAATCTGGCCAAACTACTTATTCAAGAAGTATTAATGTTACTACATAATTATTCAAGAATATTAGTGTTACTAAATAGTTATTTCAATTTTTTGAATTTTGGTCAAATCTGGTCAAACTATGGTCAAACTGTGGTCAAACTATAGTCAAACTTATTCAAGAAATATTAGCGTTACTAAATAATTACTGTTTTTTTAGAATAATAGTTTCAAACTCAAATGGTGAAATGTGTGACTTCATGCTCAAGCTAAACTCTTGAGGGTTAATAGGATTAACATCTTACTATTGTCAAGAAAACAACAAGTGCAGACTTGGAAACGAAGAAGAATAGAACCGAAAGTTAAGCGTGCTCGGGCTGGAGTAGTGACAGAGATGGGTGACCGATCAGGAAGTTAGATGATTTGAAATGAGTGATCCACACTTGAGCAGTTAAGAGAAGTGATTAGAGACTAAATCATCAAATAATTCAGAAAAAATAAAAATAAAAAAAATCAAAATTTTTTCAAAAAATTTCAAAAAAAAGTTGCAAAAAAAACCTTTAGTATCGTTGGTAATACCAACCGATACTAAAGGTCCCCCATACCAGGGCGTGAGCTCACGCCACGTGGTGGCACTTTAGCGCCGGTTCGTGCCGAACCGGTACTAAAGGGGGGGGGGGGGCTTTCGTGCCCACACTTTAATGCTGGTTCCATAACCGGCACTAAAGGCCCTTACAAACCGGTTTTAAAGCTCCGTTTTCTACTAGTGAATGGTGTAGATGCGGAACCACTACGCCTAAATGCATGCAGTATGTTCAGCGTCAGGGACTTTTTGGGTAGATCGCCGCTATAGATCATGGAACCAACTTTCCTCCTAATAGAGCAAGTCAGGGGCTTATGTATGGCCTGATTGTATGACGAAGAAGCACCAGCCGTTTGATAAACTTATATATTTTCCCTAATAGTTTGCATTATTTACTGTATTGTGCACTTTGATCATCTGGCGGAGACGAGTGTCTCCAAACGTTCATCACTACAACACACAAGGATCAATAAGCAGGGACTTGACATGACCCGCAGACTCGGCACGCAATATTGCGTTTTGGCTACGTGCACGCGTTGATTCCGGTCGGCGATCTACATATGCTGTTGTCGTGCAACATGTGGATGCAGACCGGACTGATGACGGTGGCGCAACACAATAGGAGGCGAGGGTGTGCGTCGGTGCAACAATGGCAGTTTGACCCGGGATACTTGCGTAAGAGAGAAGTGACCGGGCAGCGGCAACTTCAAGGATGCCGGCAAATGGGCCGAAAGTATATCGATTCAGGCGATGCTCGATTGATTTTTCTTTTCCTGCTTGATTGATGAGAGGCATTAAACTTTAGCAATTACCAAGCTTCTCGAGTCAAACTCTGAGCCGAATCATATTAAGCGGTCCATCGACTTAATACTATACTTTAAACTTTGTAGTACGATGTACCATAAAATAAGTCACATATTATCATGCAAGAGGAAATATATAACTCTTTCCTAGTAATATTACTTCCATTCTTACTAGGGAAAGTATTTAAAGTAATTGTGGGTATGGTTATCTAATCTGAATGTCATCTTTGCCATTTATAAGTTATAACAAAAGTGGCCATCAAGATTGAGGAGGAACCATTTGCCAAACAATTATGTATAATTTACTAATGTGCGCATTTTTCATCTGATGCCTCTGTAGATGTAGTGACCAAAAGATCACAAAATCTTTGATTTTATGAACCAAATATTATATGGTCCATTTAACGTGTTACTTCAAATGCTTCAGGACATCATTGGTGAACTTTGCAAGGGAGTGCACGACCTTGGCAAACAAGATGCAGGTATTCTTGCTTGCAAAAGGATGCAATGAACATGATGAAGACATAACGTTTACTAATTTTGCAAATCAACTTCAAGACACTATAATATGGAACGGGAATCAAATAGTTCGATCAATTTCCACATATATCCTTCTCGTTTGATTACCAGTCCTGGCCACTCAGACAATCACAGCCGTCCAATCAAGGATGTAGCATGATCAGATGGCTCGAAATACACAAATTGTTTATTACTCCCTCCGGTCGTTTTTGGACTGCATATAAATTTTGCCTGAAGTCAAAGTATCTATTGTTTGACCAAATATACATAAAAAATAACAACATTGACAACCCCAAATCAATATTGTTACATTCGTTATGAAATATAGTTTCATAGTATACGTTTGGTATCCCAGATGTTGATATTTTTTTAATACAACTTTGGTCAAACTTGCAATGTTTGACTTGACACAAATCTAATACGTAGAGTAAAAAGGGCCAGACAGTGCATTAAGCCAAAAAAATGGTGTGCATATTCCAAGTGCACGGGGCTAACGTAGACAGGTTTACATCCGTCTTAAACGATGTTGTGCTTTCTAAATCCTACATATGTGGATGTAGTTTTGATGGGGGTTCTTGTGTGAGATCTTACCTTAGGCAAGATCATGATTGATTTTTTTGAACAAAAATACGTGTTCAAATATCCTGAAAACAATTGTACACACACATCAGTGTTTGATGTATAACCTCAAAAAGTTTCAGCTCCTAATTCGACTTACATTAATAGAAACAAAAGAGAAGATAAAATTAGATGTGAATAGTGTCAAAGTACTTTCACCCAAAGCTTTCACTATTCACATTCATGTTTCTTAATATCTATATGTACATCGAGTTTTAAGCTGATTTTTTTAAAGTTGTAAACATACTCCACATGGAGGTTGTCAAATAATTTCAGATTTTTTCAAAATGTCTAAATATATTTATTTATTTTTGAAGTAGATCTTACCTAATGTGTGATCTCATACAAATCTGCCCCAGCTTTCATGCATAGTACAGGTATAGTGCGAGCTTATCATCAGATTAGCTGGATCTACGGTTAAGTTGCCTCCTTGGAGATCGCAAGGGGCAGATCACTGTGCTCCAAATCATCACGTCGATCAATTTTTCACTAACCATGTCGGGCGGACACGAGCTCAACAAATAAATTATAGTAACTTCGATGGTGCGCCATCGTCTCAGTCGACAGTGGCAACACTGGTCTGAACGGCACGCCACGCGCACTGACTTGACACTGAACAGCTCGTCTTTTTTTTTGAACACAAGGAAGGCGCATTCAGGCGCCAAATTTCATTCAACTCATTTGCAAAGTACAGCGTGTATTACAAATCCTTCAACCTGAAAGTCTTGAAGAGAAAGCATAGAAGGACAAGGGGAATGAGCTGAATTTGTACAACTAAAAACAGGTTCTATTATTGAATTGAGAACCTGGTGAGCACAGTTGTGGGCAATGCTATTGATATTCCTGGGAATGTGATAGATAGCATCAAGTTCACTAGAAGAGTCCTGCATGAAACTACTTATTTGAGGTTGACATCTCCAAGCTATAGAGTTATCCATAATATTCCTGGAAACCACCATCTTTGCCAAAGAAAGGTTGTCTGTGAGGAATGACACATTATGGAGTTGTAACCTGCAAGCCACCTTGGCAGCAAATTGAAGGGCCAAGGCTTCAGCCACAAGAGGGGAATGCGCAGAGTTAGCAGAAGCTTGTATCATGATTTTTGTGTCAAACTCATCTCCAGGAATAAAAATGAAAATTCCAATTCCTGTTGCTTGAAGATCACTTCTTCCTGGAATGTGGTTGTTCTTCCATGAGGCATCAGAATAAACTTTTGTTCCTGAAATTATCGCATCAGACTTTATAGTTGATCCTTGAAGAGGTTGTCCCATTTGTTCAGAACCTGTATGAAGAGTAGGAGAGGCAGGATTGACTTCCTGCAATTTTTGTTCATGAAAATCCTGCAGAGAAGAGATAGCTAGTGCTGCATGTTGCACTTGATGAGGTAGTGAAAATTTCCCGCAAAAAAGAACCTCATTTCTAGCTTTCCACAAGCACCACATGAATGTAAAAATATTAGAAATAGTGGCATGCGGATGATTAGAGGTAGAAAGGGCAATAATGATATCTGCAACAAAAGTATGATTTGCAACTAAAAACTCAGATCTGATGTACCATGGATGAGCAAACCAAGCAGCCTTTGCAAAAGAACAAAGAAAAAAGAGATGCAGATCATCGTCTTCAATATTACATCTAGCACATAATGTACTAATGTGAACAGAAAATCTACCAGCTCTAGCACTTGATGGAAGAGCTCGCCTGAGAAGTCTCCAAGCTAAAGTCTGGACCCGAGGGGCCATAAATTTTTCCTTCCATACCTGTTGAAGAATAGACTGAATAGATGTGTTTACCTGTCTTGGTTGATTGGCCTGCACAGAGTGAATTTGTTGCAAACAAAGATTGTATGTGCTCTTGGAATTGCTTTTTCCTGAAGGGGTTAAGTCCCAACAAAGAATGTCTCTGCAATCATCAAAAAGAATAGGAGTAGTGATAATAGCCGAAGCAGAGGGCTCCATAAAAATGTTAGAGATGAGATGAGTATTCCACACTTTTCTCCCAGGTAACCAAAGATCAGAAACCTTAGCCGGATAGATAAAATTGCTACTTTGCTGAATGATAAGATGATCATACAAATTGTGCCAGGTAGAGCACCAGGGGGAACTCCAAACAGAAACATTCCCTTGGGAAATTTGATAAAAGGAGTGGGCTTTGAGCATAGGCATGACTTTGAGAACAGACGCCCAGAAAGCAGATTTTGGGGTATTGGAATTCGCTCTCCAAATGGAAGAACCTGGAAAATATTTAGCACGGAGAACTTGATAGATGTGACTATCAGGGTTATCAGCCAATCTCCAAGAAGCCGCAAGCAGCAACCCCTGATTCATTGCAAGCATGTTTTTGATACCCAGTCCCCCCTCCTTTTTAGGTGTACAAATGTCTTTCCAGGCCCTTAGGCATAAAGCTTTTGAACCAGCCTCCTCTCTGACTCCTACCCACCAAATATTACGGATGACAGCGGTGAGCTTCGCAAGGAATTTTTTAGAAAAAAGTATGTTGGACATATAGTAGACAGGGATGGAAGCAAAGACATAATTGATGAGCTCAAGTCTAGCGGCATGGGATAGTTTATCTGCCTTATAAGTGGGAAGCTTATTCTTAAATTTGTCAAAAACAAAGTTATAAGCGGAAGCACGATCCTTAGCAGGGAGGATTAACGGGTGGCCAAGATGAGTAGATGTACCATCAACAAGAGGAACAGGGAATATATGAGTGATTTGTTGAGCTAAAGGCTGGGAAACGTTGGCGCTAAACAAAATAAAAGACTTGTCCCAGTTTGGAGTCTGCCCAGAAAGACAGCAGAAACGGTTGATGATATTGGCCATATGGTTAGCCTCCTGCACCGTAGCATTGCCACAGACCAACAAATCATCAGCAAAAAACATGGAGTGAATAGGAGGACAGTCTGGACCAAGAGAGATCCCAGACAAGCAATTTTGGACCATAGCATCATGTAAGCTTAAAGAAAGTTCATTAATAGCAAGGACAAAAAGATAAGGCGATAAAGGACATCCTTGTCTTAAGCCTCTGTTACTACGAAAGTTGGCGAAAGGCTGACCATTGATAATAACAGAGAAACTTGGGGAAGAGATGCAAGCATAAACCAAGTTTATAAAGTGACCATGCAACCCTTTGCGAGAAAGAGCAGAGACTATGAAGTTCCATTCAAGGCGATCAAAAGCCTTGGCCAAATCAATTTTAAGCAAGAACGCTTGTTGTTTGCAAGATTTAAGGGCAAAAGTGTGAGTGATCTCTTGGGCTAAGATGATATTATTGGATATGCGTCTACCTTTAATGAAGGCTTGTTGGGAAGGATCAATATAGTCAGGAAGGTGAGGCTTCAATCTGTTGGCCAAGGTTTTGGAAATGATCTTATAAATGACATTGCAAAGGATGATAGGTCGATAGTCAGAAGGTATTTTTGAGACCAATTTCATAGGAATAAGATCAATGTGAGTATCACTAATATGTGATGGCATTATACATGTCTGGTAAAAATTTCTCACCATAGCAGTGACATCGTCACCAATCCAACTCCAGGTAGCAATGTAGAATTCGACATTGAAACCATCAGGCCCCGGAGAGGCATTTAGCTTCATGTCCTTGAGAGTGTTAAAAATTTCATCCTTATCCGGGATACTATAGGTGTAATCCTGGCAGTCAAGAGGAAGACTAGATGCAAGAAAAGGCCTACCAACATTCACATTAGGAACAGCTCGTCTCAATCACGTACAAATGCTAAAGGCGAGGGCCCAGCGGCAGCTAAGCTTGGCTAGGACATGTGCTGAATGTGCTCTATCATGTGTTTGTGTGCGTGCGCTCGGCGGTAGGACAGTGTCTATGCAAGAAACATGTGCACGAGGCTATGGGCATCTCTAACCCACACACTCAAACCTCTATTTATTTGGATGGAATAGTTCAGACACATTCATGTCTTCAATGTGAACGTTCAGTTTGGGTCAGATCAGATCGTACGTCTAAAATCATTCACTCCGGCCCCAAATGGGGGTGCTCTAGGGAAGCCCGGCCCAGATGTCGGTCACGGCGGACTCTGACGCTCGGGCCCCATCCAAACCTCTAGGGGCACCCACTATTTTCTACTCCAATTCATATTCTTGGAGGCTCACCGGCTCCCCTACTTACCTGCATTCTTTTCCGGCTGGCGGCGCGGCCCCATGGGGCCTACTTTGGCTTTAAAGACCGGCTAGGTTCCTCCTGCCCAAAATCCTATCCGCTCCATTTTCCCGCTCTTTCCCACACTTCGGTGCCGCCATCGCTTGTAGCTGATCTTGCCGTTGTATTGTCCCATTCAAAAATCACATGGTACAAGATGTTGATGTCGGGGCGTCGTGTCAAAACTAAGGTGGGGGTCCACGTTGTGATGCCTGGCCCTAGCACTGCACTGAGGCGGGCCAACCTCCAAGCTTTTCGGAGTTGAGCTCGGACGAGTAGGAGGATGAGGAGGAGGGAGACCCCATGGCGCTGGTGGAGGTCTAGGAGGAGGATCAACTGACATAAGAGGAGGGGGATGGCCCTTGACGCTGCAGTCGGTGGGGTAGACGACCTCTTCTACATGCAGAAGACGAAGGAGTAGTTCCGTTCGCATGGCAGAGGCGCAACTTGAGGCGGAGCGTGTGGATGTCACAGTTATGGAGACTCTCCGTGTAGACCTAAAGTCGTCGACGAGGACCGGACGATCACACGTCTAGGCAGAGTACCCACATGGTCAAGCACGAGCGCCGCCATATCTGCATCAATGATGCCCATTGCGTTGTTCTCGTTGTGAAGCTCGAAGACAAGGACAAAGAGGAGGACGACGAGGCCATCGCCACTCATCCGCCGGCTCGTGGGTTGTCCGGATGCCGCTGATTTGGGCCGCTGCCAATAACAACGAGGCTAGCAGCTCCAGGGTGATTGTTATCACCTCCGACAGAAAGGAGTGGAATTTCTAGAATAGTTCTTAGTGATTCTTGTATTGTAAAAATGTAGAACTACTACCTATCAACGTTGCATGAATCGGTGTCCGTCTTGTGAGTGATATGATTGAATAGTCAGCGCCCCCTCAAATATCTACGGATTGAGGGCATCAAATAGTTGACGCCCTAACCTAAACCTAAATCTCTACATTTAGTCTTTGCAAGGCCTGTGCTGCTTTCAAAACCTTTTGTTGCCGGACCTATCCATGGATCGTACGTGGATGTAGTTTCACG